AATTAGACGACTTAAGAGCTGTTTTGAGGATATTCAGTATGGGATCTGGGTCTTCCAAAGAGGATAGAGCGATAGACGTGAGAAAGTCCGTGAGCTTTTGAAGTGTCTGCACCTTGCGGTCGTTATCTGCCCAGCACCCCTTACCCAGAGATCTAGCCTAAGTGGAGAGAACTCACCTAAACCATTAAAGGAAGTCGCGATGGTGGCCCAATCTTGCTCAGCCATGGAGGTCATTGTCAACAGTTCACCTCACACTACTTCGGACCATCACGCATTTCAACTGCTTCTCAAACCTTGTTCAAAGTACTGATCGACAATCTACAACAGAATATTTAAAAGCATGTATTTTAGAGAAATTTTGTAGGAGTCTGAGGATGGGTATCTATACTGGTATCTAACGGCTGTTACCTGATCATGAAGTGGGTCGGTTTCGTCATTTTCATTTCTTCCGTCGCTGTTGTCACGAGGCACCATCCATTGGCATTGTTGCAGAGCTGGCTCATCTCAGTCAGACTGAGATTTACAGTTTGGAGCTTCATTTTGCGTACCGAATTATTCCACTATTCCACTATTCACGGGCACTTAATATGTTCCCCACCGCTTCTTCTGGATCCGAGGTTATTCCTTTCTACCTTGCACCAGCGACTTTCTAGAGTGGACTTTGCGCGAGTGATTAGTATCTCTCGGAGTATTGCTAATGTGACTTCGATAGCGAAGCATCAACTCTTTTGTGTTATGCCGCCTTGACTCCTTCGGAGACGCCATCTCAGATAGCTTTCAGCTTCACACAGAGTTTCCTCGAGGTATGCCAGCTTCAAACCTTCACAGTCGTTCTACATCACTATTATGCTTGGGGGTCCGACGTTGAACGGATGGATAACGGCTTCAGTCGTAGTCCTGTCTTCGCTGTTGCCAACATCCCACAACCCTTTTGGCTACATTTCACATACGATCCATATCACCGTCAACTGCGAGTTTCGGCGAAGGAGACCGCTCCAGAGCCTCTAACTATTCCGCTGAAAGAAATCGTTCAAGAGCTGCACCTTACTGTACAAGTCCCTTCGAAACCCTGTACCCAAATCGCGGCGCAATTGGTGGACAGAGTTTGGGTTCAAAGTAAGCCCGACGGCCAAATTGACTACAGGAACGGTTGTATGCTTCAATGGACAACTTTTCCTCCCACATCGCCCATTTCTAACCTGCCCACGGAATTGCTTTATGACATATTTTCTTTCATACCTCTATATACCGGTTCCGATGCCGCAGAATCATTGCGGGCGTGCGGCATGGCTTGTGTATTCTGGCGGGAGATGGTACTGTCACGGTATTTTGAGCCACGTAAATGGGAGAATAAAAGGGAGATGTTCCGCCGCTTCCCGAGAGCAGCAGCACATTGGACAAGCTTGCGTATTTCGGACGAGGGCGATACTTTCAGAGATACAAGAACAAGCGACTTGATTTCTGCAATGGCGAGAATGACTAGTCTCCAGCTTTCTGGATGGTTCTCTGGTGCTTCCTCACAAATCCTGACCTCCGTGCTCAAATTGCGAAACCTTACATGGATTGACCTAACAAACTGCCTTTCGGATTTTGTTTTCTCTTTCCTCTCATACACCGAATCGCACCAAGTCATCAAGGAAGTCGTTGTGGCCAAAGTAATCCCTTCGAATTGTGGGGTACCTCGACCGCGACCGTTTAATTCGCTGCAAAGACTTTTTCTCCGGCAGGTTAAGGACCGATATCCCTTTGTCAAAGATCTCATCCACCAGGAGAAGGTAGAAAAGCTGATCGTCGCCAACTGTTGGCCTTTTATTGATTTCGACTCTTTCTCGCAAGAGCCGTCGATTAAACGAGTAGAACTACTCCACCTCACACTATTGCCTGCAATCGACGAGGAGAAGACATTTGAGCATTTTGGGGCCTACAAGATGATTCGGCCGTTGGATATCAGCCAACTCAAGAGTCTCACTGATTTGACGCTCGATGGGGGAGAAGAGGCGGCTGGATTGCTTCCCACCAACTTTTTTTCATCCTTCCTAGAGACTGGCACAGATTTAAAACTTTCGTACCTGTCCCTGAATTATTGCTCCCTTTCCTTCGAGAATTTTGTCAATTTCCTCGACTGGATGTTCAGAGCAAAGTCTTCTCCACGAACCGTGACTCTGACATTACTCTTCGGAGAATGGTCTGAGGAAGAATTGGAACGAGTACGGAGGTACACGAGGAATTCGGAGTGGCAGGAGTCACATAGTCTAGAGTTGTTTGAGAGTGGTTCGACAGTGGCAAGGAAGAACCGTAGTTTATGGTAGCATAGGTTGAAAGCACATGTTCATATCCATGCGTTATGCGATGCTAGCCTTTTGTGTGGAAGTTATGTATGCTTCCTTATGCGAACCTTTGCCCACCCACGTCGAGCCCGATTTTGATATCAGTACGGGTTGGCCGAACTAACTAAGCTACTTGGACTGATTCAACACAGACAATACTTGAAAATCAGCTCTGGCGAACCTGCGAGCAATATTGCAGTGTAACAACAGCTCTAGATGTACCAATAATAATTGCATGGTTGCACATCTGAATTATTTCACCTCTAAAGCTGAATGAGAGTACCAAATCTGTTTTTTTGTGGAGCTCTAAATCTGCAGCTTCTTCCTTGTAATCGTGGCATGGAAAATTGTGCTTAAACAGCGACAATTGCACGCCACAGTCGATTGACCCCTATCAAAACAAAATTTGAAGAGAAATGGGCATATGCCTCCTCAAGGGCCTGTTCCCAAGGCTTGCGTTCATTAACCAGACCGATCACAGCGAGTTGGTTACTTCCCTCTCATTCAATATCCTGTAATTCCAGCACAGTCATCAACCTGTTTGCCTCTCGCAACATCGTAGACACCATGACTACCCGTTCGTCGTCGAGGAATGTGAGAAATCATATAAGTACCTCTTTGTTTCTCCCAAGTACACTTGTCGCAGTTCCACATCACCACGAAGAACACCACAGGCGTGAATTTTCTTGATCGCAGCCACGAGATCTAGTCTCTGACCCAATCATGATTTGTGGCATTTTGCTGTGGCCATGGGTACAGACCTCCTTTGCAGCGTAACAGCCTGCGCATCAGCTGGCATTTCGAAGTCCTTCCAAAATTCCATCACGATCAATCCCCTATCTTCATGGTAGATGTAAACGCCATAATTTTTTGTTCCGGCTTCCCCCATGGCGATCGAAAAGGCGATATGCTGTGGACTCGCGTTCAAAATGGGCTCGTTTCTTCTGTTAAAGTACTTGACGTCGACCGTCGCTCTCCAATGTTCCGCCGAGGCCACCAGCAAGAAATCACCACCTTCGAGTTGAGTAGGGAAACCTCCAAGAGGAATGCAGCGTTGACTGATCCAAATGGTGTTCAATTGGAAGACGCGCTGAAGACAACATGATACTAGAATTTAGCCGTGCTTATTCCGTGAAAGGTAGAATCGGGAACGTGTTAGTTTGAAGGGTCAGGACTTACATTGTAAGGCGAATGGGAGGTATCTGGTTGTGCTGAAGCCTCCGCCGGTGTTTGAATCGTTTCTGGTGTGAAGACTCGCGCAGGGATGGGCAGAACGAGACTGTCTTTCCATGGATGGATGGGAAGGTCATTTCATAGGGAGAGCCCAAACAGCAACTTGAGAAAAGGTGTATTTACGAGGTGATAGATATCGGAGCAAGTGAGATAGAACCGGGCGTTTGTTTCTTCATCTTGAAGGCTGCACCTCTCGGAGACTATGCCTTGCGACTGTCGAACAGTAAGGCAAATCTAGTTTCACGTGGATCAGCTTTGCGCCGAGTTAAATGAGGGAAAGAGAAGGGAGACAATCTCTGGACTGATGATACCGACGTTAAACATGATGAGCCTTTCATCTTTCTCTCCAAATTCAGCAATCTTCAATGCAGTTCCTCGGTTATTGGCGCTACGAGCCAGGTCGAATGACCTTCGACGCATCGCACTCGAAAACGGTGTGGACTTGAACTCGGTAATGTATTTTGGATGTGTGCGAATTGATGGGAAGCACAATATTCTGTCACACTGGACATGATGTGCAATTCAGCGCGCCTCCGCTCCCTCCGTGAACTTCTCGATCCTAAATCTAGTCAGGCGTTCGCTGAGAGTCTTGGTGACTGAGGTTATCTTCGTTGAAAAAGGCGAACCTGGACTTCCAAGTAAGCCCTGAGAGGAGCAGAATTACAAGATCCCAACTCTCGCGCAGATGAGGTGGGGATGGCTCTCCAACTAACCGCCACTGTCACAAAAAAAGTTGAAAAAGATTCCAAGCCTCCGCTAGCAACATATTTTAATATTGCGCTCCACGGTTTGGAAAAGTCATCCTCCGACGAACTTGAATTCAAGTTTCCCAACAAATCTCGTCATCAAAATGGTGAAGTCCCCCCCCCCAGTGGAGCAACAGTGCCTGATGACTTGAAAGCCATGTCTGATGGTATGTTTCTTCTCATACTTTGTGGAAGCGAAACTAATGTTGGAACAGCCTTTTGGAGAAAGTCAAGCGTTTCCTCTCCGACTTGTTCACCAAAAATCCTTCGACTTGTTCATCCCAAAAAGAGATTAGTCTTCACAGAGGTAGTAAACTAGAGGAATGGGCCTTCCTTTCAACACATCAAAGTTAATAAGTTGGATGGAGTGGTATTGAACAGCGCCAGCTAAGAGACCAGAGAGTGATGATAATGATAGAATGGAATTTAAATGTAAACAAAGGCTTAAGAGGAGTAATGAAGACTTCTCTCATTGCTTGTGCTTGGAACCGTGAACTACGAAGCAGCTCTGGCCACTTAACATTTCCATCCAATAACCTATAGTCAGGGACGGGATATGGGATCCGCTGACAGAAAGTTGACGGGCGAAGGAAAAAAGTGTGACAGTGGTATCCTCGTCACCTTATCGAGCTCGAGCACTGGAGCTGGGGATTTAGAATCCTTTGGACTGTGGATCAAAAACAACAAAAAGTAATGCTCTCGACCGGATTCGAACCGGCGATCTCTCCCTGAAGCGTGAATACTAGGGGAGCGCCTTAGCCAACTTGGCCACGAGAGCCGATATGATTCTGTCTGGGAGAGTACATTGTAAGCAAAAGATATCCCTCTTCCGACCCACTTCCGTTTCTGTTCCCCTTCTCGCTTGCTTCTTTTGTTATCGTATTAGGCCACTTTTGCCGCTTGCCCAGTTGCTGTTCAGCCTCGCGAGTCGGATCCATCACGCTTGCTGTAGCTCCAAGCGACGTACCCGCGGACTGACGATGTGCTCCCCTTTCCAGGCCTTTGCCCAGTGCATGCCCCTTCGCCATGGCCTCCGCCTCCACTCCACCTTCACCAGATTCACCCGCCCGCGGTCTCACTTCTTCACGCCCACGCGGCGCCTGCACTCCCTCCCTCCGCCGCCGCCCGCCCCGCCAAAGTTCCTGCACAGGCACCTCTACGTGACCTCTGCGCTCACGCTCAGCATCGTGCTCGTCGGTGGCTTAACGAGGCTCACAGAGAGCGGGCTGAGCATCACAGAGTGGAATCTCGTCACGGGGACCTTGCCGCCGATAGGCGCAAAGGCGTGGCAGGAGGAGTTCGAAAAGTACAAGGGTACGCCAGAGTTTGAGATTCTCAACAAATGGATGGGAGTGGACGATTTCAAGCGTATTTATTACATGGAGTGGGGGCATCGATTGCTGGGACGAGTGATCGGACTCACCTTTCTTCTCCCGCTTCCTTTTTACCTCAGACACCCTTACTTCACATCGTCTGCCGCACGATTTCGAAGAAATTTCCTGCCGCTCTTAGGCATCGGCGCGTTGATAGGAGCTCAAGGCGCTCTCGGATGGTACATGGTCAAATCCGGCCTGACATACGACGACCTTCGAACCGCCAATCCGTCCAATCCCACACCTCGCGTTTCCCAATACCGTCTCGCAGCCCACATGGGGTTAGCATTCCTGGTCGGTCTCCTTGCATTCCGTGGCGGCCTCGTCGCTCAAATGGAACGCGCCATCATCACCAACGCTCGTGCACCTCCTTCGCTGTCTCCAGAGCCTTCGGTGCGCAGAATGCGAATAGCTGTGGCTGCGTGCACCGGCCTCGTATTCACCACAGCCATGTCTGGTGCTTTCGTCGCTGGCTTGGATGCAGGTCTTATATACAACGAGTTTCCAAAGATGGGAGAAGGTATCGTGCCTCCGACAAAGGAACTGTTCGATCCGCGCTATGAGCGAGGGAGGGGAGAGACTTGGAGGAATTTCTTCGATAACCCGACTCTCGTGCAATTCGACCATCGCGTCCTCGTGAGTTCAATCCTCCACAACGATTGCTAGTGCTGAGAATGAGTCAAGGCGACCTCCTCCTTCATCGCAGTGGCCGTACTCAAACACCTTCCTCACATGCGTTTCTTCAAACCACTTTCAAAGCAGACCCTTAAAGCTCTCAACTACGCAGCCTACGCTCTCATCGCCCAAGTCACATTAGGCATCTCGACCCTCATCTACCTCGTCCCTGTACCTCTTGCCGCCGCTCACCAGCTCGGAAGCTGCGTCCTTCTCGCCACTCTGGTATTCGCCGGCACCACACTGAAAAAACCGACGAAGAACGTCCGGGAGTACATTCAAGCTCTCCAAGGCTTCACCCCAGGACGGACTTCGATGCCTCTACGAAAAGTGCTCAAAAGTCAACGATCGGTCCCTCCTCAATAAATATTTCTGCCTTGTCTTGGAAAGGATCAAGGAAGTGCTCAGCTCATTTGTATTTTTATCACCACTCATTAGTCTTGGTCTTGGTCGTGTCCATTGCCATTCCCCATTCCGCGGAACAAAGAGTATAGACTGCATTGCATATTTTATTCACTTCACTTCACTTCACTACTCTCCGACATCTCCACATCGTCTCCGCCAGCTCCCTCTTTGGGATCCATCAGTGCGAGATACTCGTTCAAATCGTCCCCCTCCACGATCCTAAACTTCTCTCCCTCCCCAACGATAGCTATGCTCGTGTTTTGGGTGTTCAATTCCTTGTCCTGTTGCAGGGTATCGCGTAAGGCATGCAAGCCATGCTTGATCAACCCATTTAAGTCGCCTGTCCGGTCCATAAGTTACTCAAGCGAGGAATGGAGAAGCAGACCCACATGACTCAAAGGACTCATAATGGGTTTCGAGATACGTCTTGGCTGATTGTGAACGAGCCCCGATGGACATGGCGTAGAACTCGAAGCAAGTTCCAGTCGGTGCGAATTCAAACAGATGTGGTCCCGTCTCCTGTTCACCATCTCTCAGTTGTGAGACAAAGAAGGGTTAGGGAGGGAAGACTGACGTCGTGTCCAGCCACAAGGAAACCGACACCGTAGGGCCGTCGTCCTGTAAAGATTAAGATTTAGTCAGAGTTCCTAGCTTCGACAATGACGCGGTGCGCACCGTAGAACTGAGTGTTAACCTGCGCCTCTGCTCCACTGAGTTCCGTCAACCCAAGCACAGAGATTGTACATACTGTCTGCAATCCCACCGACAACGCGATTGACAGGCAAGGGACGGCCATAGAGCATGCGGCTGCCCATCGCCTGCTGCCTCATGAAGTTGGACAACACTCTCGCGTCGCTAGTCAGGCCAGCGAGAGCGAGGCCAATGTGGTCATCGATCCGCAGAATTTTTTGCTGGTAGCTCGCGAGAGAGCCGGGAGAACGCTGCCTCCCACACGCTTAACCCAAGCTCACTGAGATTCGATCCAAGACGCACCTTGAGAGCGAGGAGAACTACGTGTTTCTTTGAGCGCAGGCCTACGGCTGCAGACCCCAGCTTTACTGCTTCGAGCGCATATTCAACCTGATGCAGACGGCCTTGTGGGGAGAAGACGGTGTTGCTGGGCGAAGTGAGGGTTGATGCATAAACTAGATGAGACGCTTACTCGGAATCGTAGCTGCAGTTATCGAATCAGCAGTATCTACCGGGCTGAGATGCACTCACTTGTTCCTGAACATGTTGGCTGTTTTGGTGGGCAAAGGATGGAAAGCGAATCGTTCGCCTGAACTGACGCGTCGTGATTAGATTGGCGAACATGTACGTACTACTCGTCAACTCTCACCAGCTGGAACAACACTTGGGAACTAAAATGCAGTCCAGTTGTCCAAAATCAAAGGCGTAAGGCATGGCAATTCGTTTCACGTAGGTATTAGGAACTATAGGAAGGTATTATCGTAGTAGAAAGGTTGACACTGAAACGTCATGCCAAAGATTCGAGAAATTGCAACAACTTTGGGTATTCATCATGAGTAGGGGATAGCAAGCAAAGACATTTCTTTGTCAGTATGCGAACCACTTAAAGCAGCGACTTTTGAACCAACCATAAAAGAACAGGACACGGTATATTGAATCGGACAGCGAAAAAAGATATTAGCAAGAAAATTTAGACCTATAACGAATACGACGACTGAGTTGGCACATATTTCGATTAGAAAACACGCCACAGAGTGTTTCCTGCAACGGGTATCTTGATAACGGTTAAGCGCTGAGCTTTCTTGTTACGGAGAATTAGGAGACCAATGAAGTATAGGAGCTGATCATCATTTGACTCAGTCTCTTGTGGAGGAAAAGGAAGGACAGGCGTACGGTGGTAATTCTGATATCCTGGTGCGATGCATGCCCTCAATCTGTCGAAGCATGTCAATGTCTCGATTGTCGACCAAGAAATTGATCGCGACTCCGGGCCTTACATGGCCAGCGGATGTGGCACAAGCAACCCGATGAACGTAGTCTTCTGGTGCTCTCGGTAAATCAAAATCTACGTGAGCTCATCAGTATTTAGCGCTTGTGTTGGTAAGACTCTAACTCACTAATTACCAGGGGGACCTGATGGACATCGTTGAGACTTCGACACAAGGCATCATAAACGACAAGGCATTTCTTTGACGCCTTCATTCCTGGTGTAGAGGCGGCGGAGGAACGGAATTTGGAAAGTACTGAGTGTCGCGCTGGTCCTCCCATATCTTGATGCAAAGCGAGCGCATCAATGCCCCTAGAAGCGAGTTTGTATGTCACAGCTTCTGTCGAATCCACAGAAGCGCAGTAGATGACGGCTCTACAACGATTTTGTCAACTCTGTTCGCGAGAGAGGGGGGAAGAGACGGACTGTGTGAAATCATAGTCCTCACAGAGGTCAATCAGGGCCTCCAGCTTCCACTCTCTCGCACTGAGATTCACATTTCCCAGCTTGGTTGTGGCATTGCTGCCTACGGCAATGTAGAGGTAATACTGCTTCAGACCACGCATGCTAGGGCTCCCACTATCTGATTGTTCTCTCCGTACGAGCACCCTGACAGGTTCCCTCAAATTGAGACTCGAAGAAGCGAAAGTCAACACTTCTTGTGGTATCGTACAACTGTAAATTGCGGTCTGGCGTTCCATGTTCTGAGGAATGTGCTTGAAAATACCGGTGACGAGATCTGTGAGGTTGCGTGCGACAAGTTGATCACCTTCGTCGAGAACGACGAGACGGAGTTCGTTCATGTTGAGTATCCGCGTCGATACGATGTCGAGTATCCGTGCCGGAGTTCCAATCAGGATATGTGGCATATTCCCCTGGATGGTTTGCAGCTCTTGGTTCAGATCCCCATTTCCTACAGATATCGACGCTCGGATACCTAAACCCGCCCCAAGTCCGACAGCCAGTCGATGGCATTGCGAAGCCTCATCAATTGTGCACGTAATCATGAGGATCTGGATGTTTCCAGGTCGCGGTAGATTGAAGGATGCAGAGTGAAGGACCATGTGGATCGATGGTATGATGTAGCTTTGTATTCTCTCGGAAATCGCTGCAGCCTGAGCGACGATATCGTTCTGCTTTAACAAAGCAGGAATGCTCTTTTGTTGGATCTTAGATGGAGGACCAATCCCGTATCGAACGAGAGATTTGACCACAGTTGCATCGAGACCAAGAGCTTCCCACTTGCTGAACAAAGAGCCGCTTGGGGTGGCTACCATGGGGGCAGGAGGTGCAAAAGTGTTGTTGGAAGCAGGGAAGCTGTAATCCTGTGCCGCGGTTGGTAGTCGAGTACTGATGATGGAATCGCCG